CCCCCAAAACCCCAAAACCCCAAAACCCCATTGGGAATTTTTAAATTTGAATATTTTTAAAATGTCTTTTTCAGATTCGAGCCAGGATTACTCACAATATGTTCAAACTAAGGTTTTTCAGCCTTTTATGAACTCTCTGACGGTTGATGGGATTGAAAAACGTGTTGAAAAGTTGGAACATGAGAATATCATTTTAGATAAGTATGTCAAGGATCTTTATAAGAAAATGCCCAAAATGCAAAGGAAAAACTCTGAAATTAACCTATCCCAGTCTCAGTTCCTTGCTGAGATAGAATTTCGACTCGAAAAGATAGAGAAGTTACTATCAACACAATTTACTAGGCAGAAACCTGACCAAGAGAATCATGATTCAAACATGGATCCCAGATCGAAGGCATTGAAGCAAAGTGTTCAGGACAAATTCCATGTCCGACATGAAGACCTGTCTCGTCTTGAAGATAAACTAGAGAAATTAATAAAGTCCCAAGCTGAAGACATTGCAATTGATGTAACAGAACTTGAGAAGTCGGTCAAAAAGGTTGAAGCCAAGCTTAAAGAGTATTGAAGTCGTGGTGGGAACGTCACTAGACAGGAATTCCACCAACTAGGAAAAGTTCTTGAGAAGAAAATCCAACTTTCAACGTAAGTATAGGAATGTTTAGCTTTTAGAAATCTTATGGATGGCGTTCTGAGTGAAACCAAGGAGATTATAGCAAAAGCAAACCGTATTAGCATCAAAGCGATGGAAAAGAGAAAGAGAAGATCTACCTCTAGAGAATCTAATCTTCCAAAATCTTCAAGAAGAGATAAATCAGGGAAGAATACTCCAGAGCAGCAATCTATCTATCGGACGTATAAGCAAGAAAACCCTGCAAAGGTATCAAGCCCAAGTGTTAACAAAGACTTGTTTATAGGTATTTGTGGCTCATACTTCATAGATTCGAAAACTTCCAAGGATTATGAACATTTCAAGGATAAAAATGCTTCCGGAGATGTCAGGACTTGTAAAGCATCTGATGCGAACAGTAAGATTAGCCTAGTAAATATAGATCTGAGCATGTTTGGTAACTCTTCAATGGCCCAAAACAGTAAGAGCCTCATTTTAAACACTTATAGTAAATACCAGTTCTGATGGGATGAGAAGCCAATTGAATAAAAGAAGCAACTACAGTAAAATGCCAAGTGAGGAGAAGTTGTCCAATATTTCAATGAATAATTATGGTAGTCATGACTCTGAAATGCTCACTAGAGATCTCCTTCGTCGGTCTTATGATAGGTACAAGGATCAAGATTTTCCTCTTCCCTCAAATGATGATGTCTATCATCTGAGCAGTTGCCAGTACTATCCAGATGAGCCTGGAAGAGCTGTGAAAAGAAAGCACACAGAGCGGCAAAAACTCAAACCTTCCTCAGTCCGTTTGAAGAAACAAATGTCAAATTCCCGCTTGAATCATAGTAAATGAGGGCCAAATACTAAAGACTTGCATTCCTCTGTCAAAAGAGTGAGGGATCTGACAGAAAAATGCCTGAATGGTATTCTAAAATCAAGCAAAAACTGCCATAAATCAAAGAAAAAGCGCTTTAAGAAGAGCAGATCGCAGCCAAAAGTCAGCAAATCTCGTGATAAGACTGCCAAAAATTTGGACAAACTAGAACAGATTTACCAAGATCTGGTTGATTAATCCTTTTTCAATATTCTGCTCTAAAATTGGGGTTTTGGGGTTTTGGGGTTTTGGGGTTTTGGGG